AGTTTTAAGGCCGATACCGATAGGGGGCCGATTATATCGTGCATCCCTAGTTTTAATGGTTATTTAGTTAAATATGTGGCGGTAATGTTTGGTTTATCTAAAGGTTTTAATCTGTTACTGTGTAAATGGATTTGGCTGTAATTTAAGGACAGATTCTAATATATCTGCAGTGAGGGGACTATAAATCTGATAGGAGTTTAATTATTATACAGCTATTCTACTGAGGGTAGTATTTGTTCACTTTACAATAAAAAAATAAAAAATTTTGAAAACTTCGGAATTCATTCTTTTCCTGCTTTGTGTGTCAACTGTACGGCGGTCTGCTGAAGGGTAGACCTGTTTGAATTCACAGCCAAAACTCTTCCGGTCTCCTTATTTTCATGGACTTGGAAGGATCCAGGCCAGGTAAACCGCGTCCTTGGAAGATGCAGCCCATAAATATGAACAGAGTCATAATTCTCTGTCTGAGCCGCTCAGACCCCCGTACAGCGACGACCCTCTGTCACTGGGAATCCCCATCAACAGCAGCCTCTGGCCCAGTCACCTCTTCGCGGTTTTCCGATACTGTTCACGGCAGCTGGAAGGCGGTTTTCACGTACGTAATCCAAACTGCAGGATCCAGGATAATAAAATCGAACATATTATCCGGCAGTTTTCGACATTGTAAGTTAATTTAGGCGTTAATAAACTGTTTCAGAGGAGTGATCATAGCGCTCTGCATCAGCAGTGCTGTGTCTGACTCCCTGCCAGCTCCCATATCAGCTTCTCTGATTGGTTGATGTGGCGCGTTGAGCTGCAAACATTTTACAAACTCCAGCAGCTGCTGCTTCTGAAGTGCCTCAGATGCTCAGAAGCTGATGACGCGCTCCTCCTGCTGCTCAGACGCGCTGCAGGACGTTTTTCTGCGCGTCAACCATTGACTTTGCATGTAAACCAACTGATTCTGCTGCCTCCAGCGTGTGCGGTCTGAACGTAGCATTAGTGCAGCTGAGGGACTGTTGGACAGAAACCCAGCGGGGGGGTATGGGGGGCACAGAGAAAACCTCATAGATCATACATCCCTGATTTGATTGAGGCTCCCTCCCTCTCTTGTTGCTTTTAAATCAAGGCCATGATCAGTTCCATCTTATTACATAATAGTGATGATGTGTGTTTGGAAATTGTTGTTTCTGCTTTTGTTCAATCTTTATTGTTCCGTTTCGCTGGATTAAAAAGAAATGAAACAGAGGCGTGGGAAAACCCAGGCTGGTGCCTCAAAACAGATTATATTTCCTGCTATTTCCCCCATTTTTATTCCAAGGCCAAAAAGTGACGCCCTGCCTCACCAGCACATTTAGAGGTTCTACGAGATCTGGAGGATAATTCTCTCCACTGTGGTTTGTTGGTTTTCTGGATTTCTCCTCCAGCCCCTGCTGAAGTCATACTTGATCGCTCTGCATGCGTCAGTGATGTTTCTCTGTCATTGCAGAGGCTCGCGGGCAGAGGCGCAGCTTGCAGACGGCGCAGAACCTCCTGCAGGAGGAGGTGGCACGTGGTGAGGAGCGCTCCGAGGTAAGATTCTCATTTTCTGCTTTAATTCCTCCTGAGAATTCATCACAGAGCTTTACTGATTTGGCAGCAGAGTTGAGGGGATTTTTTGTCAGAAAAAAAGAAAAACCCAAAACAATTCTGGAGGCTCCCTCAAATCAAGCCCACCCACTTCAATGCAAACAGCTCTCTAAAGCCGTCAGGCCTACTATACATACACAGAGCAGCCCCCCCAGCGTGTCAGCAGCCCCACTTCCTCCAGCAGAGCTGCCAGTGTGTAGGCTACACGTGCTCTGGCTGCTCTGCACGCTGTTTGCTCCCCTGAAGGCTTCATTTAATGTAATGGCAGCATGTTAGACCAACAATATGATGCTCCTCTAACTGTCAAAATAAGCAAATGAAACTAATCTGAAACAGATGGGGAATATTTACTGTCAATAAAAACAACTCCACTCTTATCTTCATCTCTGCATAACTTAAAAAAATGGGGATTCTTTGCTTTATATTTTGCTGATACTGTCAGCAGCATCTGTTATATTTGGCATCCCTGAAAAAGAAGCGTTTAAAGGAAAAGTCCGGTCAGCAAGGAATAATCAATGGATCAATATTTATACCTAAAACTAATACGTTTCTGATGATTTAATGAATTTAGTGTTAATCAGTA